CAATGTCGATCCAATAGCGCCTTCTTCCTCTTTTCTAGCACCGCCAATGTAGAGTATACCTACACGTTAGTTAAACAAGAGGAAAGAATAACCGGCAAAGTATAAGAAGGTCCAAGAAATTCATACCGAAGATGTGGAGGCAATGGCTTCAACTCCAAGATAGGAGGCTCTTCGATTGAAATATTTGTAGGAGGAGTTGTCCTATTTTCAAGATCCAAGGAAAATTTGCAGGGTTCATATGTGTACGACCCCATTCCTTGAAAAGAGTTCACACATTCCATAAAGCCATCCATCTCGTCATCTTCAAAGTTGAGCAAGACGGCCTCCAACATATCACCAACATTTATCACAGCACTTATTTCATCCATAATCACATCGGTCACCAAGTCAACGAAAGACCACACCTCATTGCTATTGGGTTGCCTCATGGAATTACACACATGGAAAACCACTTTTTCATAACCAACCCGGAAAGTAAGCTCTCCAGCTTCAACATCAAAAAGAGCCTTCCCCATAGCAAGGAAAGGTCTACGAAGAATAATCGACACCTCATAATCAACCTCACAATCAAGAATGACAAAATCCGCCAGGAGAATGAATTTATCAACACAAACCAAAACATGCTCAATCACTCCCAAGGGTCGCTTCATAGTTCGATTGGCCATTTGCAATCTCATAGAGGTGAGCTTTGGTTAGCCAATTCCCAATGTTTTGAAAACCGAATAGGACATCAAATTTATACTTGACCTAAGATCACAAAGAGCTTTTGCAAACTCGGCACTTCCAATTGTACAAGTAATCGTGAAAGCACCGGTATCCTCCAACTTGGGATCCATTGAATGCACAATTGCAACTACTTGATGAGTCATTTCATAGTTTAAAAATTTATCGACCGCTTCTTTGTCACAAGATCCTTCATGAACTTTGCATAACCAGGCATTTTCTCCAAGGCTTTAACTAATGGCAGATTGATTGAGAGGCTCTTCATCATTTGGATAAACTTCTTGAATTGGTTTTTACCATTTTGCTTTGCAAGTCTTTGAGGGTAGGGAGGTGGAGGCTTAGGAAATGATGCCTTAGCCTTTTGCACTACCGGTTCCGGCATGTCAATAATGTGATCCCTAGACGGGTTCACCTCCTCTTGAGTCTCTTCCACATTATCATAATATCAATCCGAACCTCATCATTGGATTGCTCAATATTGTTCAGGATCTCCTTTTCTTTGCACTACTTGATCTTCATCCACGAGTTGCCTTTGGCTTGAGGTAGGTGCATTCCCACCTTTTCCATTCCTTGTAATAACGGCCATGGCATGCCCCAAGTTGTTCCCACCCTTTGGGTTCACCACCATGTCACTTGGTAGTGCCCCCTTAGGACGAGTATTTAGAGCTTGAGAGATTGCCCCATTTGAACTTCCAAGTTACAGATTGATGTATTGTGGGAGGCAAGTTGGCATCAAAATCGACATTCTACTCCATCATTTGCTTGGACATATTCTCAATATGCCCCATTTCATTGTTGGAAGAACTTGGACCATGGGAAGGATAAGGAGGCGGGTTGCTCAGTTGTTAATACATCGGGGGCCTTTGAAAACCTGACCCCCCATTGCCGTGATTATTGTTCATCCCCCTTGATTGTTACCTCCCCAATATCCTTGATTGTTGCCACTCCAATTACCTTGGTTATTTCTACCACTCCAATTTTCTTGATTGTTGTTGTTAAGCCAATTCCCTGATTGTTGCCACCACTCCAATTACCTTGGTTGTTAGAATTCCAATTACCTTGATTACCTTGAGGTCGCCATTATTGTTGATTCAGGACTTGAGAGTTGTTTCTTTGCCCTTGATATTTGTTCACATATTGCACATCCTCCTCTTTTTCGTTGTAAGATTCCTCTTGAGCAAATCCACCATCTTCTTGGACATAATTCTCCACTCGGTTTTGCACTTGCGGACCCTTGGTCCTTCTTTTGTTCACCATTATGCTTACTCCCTCCATGGCATTGACTTACTTAGGACTTTGCACTTGTTGAAGTTGAGCCTTTGCTAATTGATTCATAGTGGTGGTCAAATCGGCAATGGCTTGCCCATGGTCATGCAACTCTTTATGGAGGTGAATCACGTTCAGGTCACCTTGAGGAACATTAGCCCTAGATTGCCATGTCGATGAGGTGTCCTCCATTTTATCTAAAATCTCACAAGCTTCCACATAGGTGTTGTCATGAAATTCCCACCGGCAAATTGATTCGCCACACATTGATTGGTCGTATTAATCCCCCTATAGAAAGTTTGTTAAATCATATTCTCCACCATGTCATTATTGGGGCACTCTTTGACCATTGTTGTATGCCGCTCACAAATCTCGTGTTGCGATTCATTGGGCTCTTGCTTGAATGCTAGAATCTCGTCTCTAAGAGTAGCCATATGCCCGGGAGAAAAGAACTTGGCAATAAATTTCTCCGCCAACTCATCTCAAGTAGGAATGGAATGGTTGGGCAATCTTTCCAACCAATCTAAGGCTTTCCCTCGTAGAGAGAAGGGAAAAAGCCTTAGCCTTAAAGCATCATCGAAGACGTTTGTCTGTTTACTCCGCCAACAAGTGTCCATAAATCCCTTCAAGTGTTTGTATGCATTTTGACTTGGAGCCCCGGTGAAGAAACCTCGTTGCTCTAGCAATGTGAGCATTACATTAGTGATTTGAAAGTTGCCCGCCCTGATTCGGGGAGGGACTATGGCACTTGCATACCCTTCATTTGGCAACAACCGGTGTGGAGCCGCTCATGGTGGAGGTGGGGTGTAACTGGGATGTTGTCTTGAGGCGCCCGACCTCTTCTATTTGCTTGAGGATTAAGAGGATTCTCTTCAACTTGGTCATCCTCAACGTGCACATCTCCCAAAGACATGTTTCTGAGTTCATTGGCCGTCGTAACTGTACCTACAATTGATTCACACAAATTAGTAACACGGAAGGAAAAAGAAGGCAATCCACTCACAAACCCAAATATATAGCTATAACCATTTTTAATTTCCCGATAACGGCGCCAAAAATTGATCACGTCCAAGTGCACGCCTCTAAAGAGGTATGACACAGTCATTCGCAATAATAAGACCCAAGAAAGAGTCGGGATCGAATCCACAGGGAACTAAGATGGGAGTTAGTAGTATATATTTGGAATGAGTACGTGAAATATGTAAATTGTACTTCCACAAACAGGGCTTTGTTTTTACTTCTAAAATTAATCTAATGATTTCAAATCTAAAAGTATAAGACTAGAGATGATTGTTTTTGAATGTTCTCCAAAGATATAGAAAAGCCTAGGGCTGTGACCATGACCTAAGTATTTACCTAATGGGATAAAGACTTTTATGATGTTTTAATTACTGGGGTATATTATAGTTCACAACACTACGTCTCCCACTCAATACATCTCGGTCAGAGAGTGATTTTGCCCAATTTGGCTTTCTCAAGTCCAAACGGGTATCTACAAAACAGTTGATAAGAGCTCAAGTCGGATTGTTACTATCTCTAGGTTGAACCCTTTAATTGAGTTAATCAATCTCTCGATTGGCCCAATCCTTGTTAGCTAAGTTAACCTAGACTAGGTCTCTCTTTCTCAAGAAGAGACTAAGTCAAATAGGCATGAATCAATGTTTGCAGCCATTAATTCCACAACTGAAGCATGGACTTAGCTATATAACAAACACTCATTCATAAACAAGCATAAAATTAATCACCCATAAGGTTTACACACTAGGGCTGGGTCACAACCCTAGTAAAAATCTAGCTACTCATAGTGGGTTTAGAAGAAAACAAAGAAGAAAAGATAATAAAACTCATATTGAAAGATTAAAATATACAAATCCAACTTTAAATCACCAAAATAAGCTAAAGTTGCCTAAAGAAGCAAAGAGAAACGGCTACAACACTTTAATATTCAAAACTTGACCTAATTTCGTGAAGCTCTTCTATTTATACTAACCTGACAATTTAGGACAAAAATGCCCCTCGTGAGGTTTTGCGGCCGCAAATTTCATGCGCGGTCCGTAGAATTCTTCATCTTGCAGGAGCTGGGGTTCAGCGGTCGCACAATTCTTGACTGCAGCCGCAAGGCATAATTTATGCAGTCCGTATATTTATCACTGCAGCCGCAACTTGGTCTTCTGCGGTCCGCAACTATACTTCTATGGCCGCAAGGCATTTCTTCTGCGGCCGCGCAATTCTTGTACGGTCTGCAATCTTGAGGACGATCTGGACTTGGCTTTTTACACACTCTCTGAAGTTTACCCCAAACTCATCTTTTGCAACCGCACAATTCATGCGCGGTCCGCAATATGCTCAAAAGTCTAGTGGGCTTTCTTTCATCATCTACGGCCGTAGATGGAATTCTGATGTCCGCACTTTGTAGCTTATGTGCCTTTTGTTGTCTTGTATTTAGATTACTCATTTTTGAGTAGGATTTCATCTCGGGAGTCCAACTTCCAACATTCCTACGATTTAGCATATTTCATCAGTTTCGGGAACACAATTCAATGCTTTTAGACTAAAACAAAAGCTAAAAAGGTGCTAATAAGTAGTCAAAATCCCCACTTATCATGTATCATGGCGGTTTTCAATTGTCATGTGTTCATATGTATTTTCATTACTTGTGAGACTTCCTATTACTTTGATAAGTTTTAGGCTTGTTGTTAACTTTATGCAGCGCCAACTAGTGGGGATTGAGGCGCGTTGTCAGTTCCAAATTGGCATTTTAGTTCCAAATTTTGTTTAGAATATTATGAAGTGTTTAATACATTGGCTTATTAGAGATACTTGAGGAATCAATCACTGGAGTCCCTTTTCTTAACCTTAGCATTGATGATATCTCTTATGTAAAGGCATTAGGCTCAAACATTAACATGAATCCACTGCCAAAATAGTTTTTCAGCAAGCTTTATTGCACTGCAATTATACATTAACTTGAAAATGCATCACAACAGTAGTAGTTAAGTCCATTTCTTATAGGCTCAAACAACATTGCTAATATCTTTTACCATAAGAAAATACATTACATACTTTACATTTTGTCAAACATCCCAATGCCATTACAATCAATTGAACAACAACAATGAATTTAATACATTGGTTTCAATCTGAATATCCCAATAAAGCAACCCAACAACATAAGAATGAAAATCCACTGCCAAAATAGTTTTTCCTTCAATTTTGCAACTACTCTATCATGATCAATAGAAGAACCTTCAAAGATAGCAACTTTTCCCGTTAATACATTGATTTCAATATGAAGATCATCTTATTTTTTCTGCAGAAAATCTGTTTTCTTCACAAGAGCCTCCTTTTCCCTCTTCCAATTATTGATGACAACTAAAGCTCTTAAAGAAAATTTATCGTCTTCCCATTCCTAATAACCATATGACCCCTTATTCTGCAAGAAAAATTTATAAACATCAGAAGAAATCATCCATATAAATATGTTCAAAATTAGACACAAAATTCACAAGATTTCACATAAAACAAACGGCCAATTAAATCAGGTTTTGGACACCTAAAAAAACGTCTTCCAGGATTCTCAGGAGACTTGGACGTGAGATGTAGAGCTACAATTTCACGTCGGCACATCCGTATGAAGAACTAGAAGATTGAGACATTTCATGAACAATGGACAGAAATAAATAAAGAAGATTACTTTAATCTTACTTCTAAGCTCTACATATTGCAACATTTACTCGAATTAAAGGAAAAATAATACTTGCTTGAACAGAATTGGGAAATTTAGAAGAGGGGCTAGGGTTTTGAAGAAGGAGGGAAAGTAACATTAATAGAAGAAGAAGAAGAAGAAGAATAGGTTCGAGTCTCCTAAAAAAACAACGGGTTGGAGAGAGGGGGAGGGGGGTTGGTACATTAATTAGTATAGAAAGTCCCTAAATTATTTTATGTCGGGTGGGGAACGAAAAAGGGATATTTTTGGTCCAAGGTATTAACGGGAGGGGCAGGCCAGAGCCAAAGTTTTAATTGAGGGTAGATGCCCTTAATTTCGCTTAGTAAAGGGGTATTTTGGACCCTTTTTCGTAGTTTTAATATTATTAAGATGTTATACATTCAAGAATTTTTACAAAAAATCATTTCACCACCACTACTATCTACCATCACACTAGACTCTCCATCAACCAACATCGCTAACCACTATTATCTTGCTACCATCATCACTAGTTACTATCCACAATTACCACTATCATCCACCGCTAATCAATAATGTCATGAGCACTCACAATTACTATTTTTAGCCATCACCACCACCCATCACTGTATAAATTTATCTTTTCTAATATTTTATTGATATAGATACAAAGAAAAAAAAATATTTCATTTTCTCATAGATTCTTCTCCTCTTAGGATGGATTAGGATTATTGATAGAATGATAAATACCAACAATAGGACCCTGAATTAGGAAAACACTAATATTCTAGAGAAAGAAATTAAAATAAGTAACATCACATAAGCGTTACCACTTGAAACTTCGATAATACTGAATTATGACAAGCCAACAAAATTAGTGAATAAACATATTCATGTGCTTAAAGCACGAAAAAATTCGTAAGGTTGCTTAAGAGTAAAAGAAAAAGTTTTAAGGCGGTGGGACTCCTAAGGTTTCCGTTGAAGTAAGGAAAAATAAGCTTTATTCGATAGTTTTCTAGGGAAAAACTAAAAACCTTTTAACAGAAACAATAAATTTAAAATCACAATCATCTTTAAGTAGTTTTAGATTAAAAATATTTTGAAGTTTAACTACATTCAAGTTTCAACCATGTCTTTGGGTTGTATATATTTAAAATATTGTCATAACGTTAAGTGGTGAATGAACGCTAACGTTGTGTCTTTTTTTTTTTTTTTTGGTAATTGATATTGCAAAGTGTGAACTTAAATTCACAAACCTGTTATCTTAGGCTGATAGTTAATTGATTAAAGTTTCATCTAGAAACAAAAGCAACCAGTCGTTGTAGTATAGTGGTGAGTATTCCCGCCTGTCACGCGGGTGACCCGGGTTCGATCCCCGGCAACGGCGAACATCCTGGTGTTTTGGGCATTATTTTTTGGGTTTTTCAATATCTTTCACAGCGAGCATAAAATCACGGAAGACTTGACGAAAATGCTCCAACAGAGAATGCCGGTGAAACATTTGTCAGCTAATTATATTCCTGGTTCATTGTGACCACTCTACCTCCTATTTCCTTATCAACATGCATCATTTTATATTTAGGAATTTTTACCTCCTATAGTAAAGGTTAACACCTTTATTTTAAATAAATACCATTTAAAAGAATTATATTCTATAGATATCTTTTAAGGTTTATAGCAAAATATTTAATTTTGGTTACCTCCTAGCCCTAAGCCACTAAATACGCTAATCAGTTATACAATTTTCTTTCTCTCTCTACTTTGATACATCCCATTTTCTTCCCCCTATTTCCTTATCAACATGCATCATTTTATATTTAGGAATTTTTACCTCCTATAGTAAAGGTTAACACCTTATTTATTTTAAATAAATACCATTTAAAAAAATTATATTCTATAGATATCTTTTAAGGTTTATAGCAAAATATTTAATTTTGGTTATCTCCTAGCCCTAAGCCACTAAATACGCTAATCAGTTATACAATTTTCTTTCTCTCTCTACTTTGATACATCCCATTCTCTTCCCCCTTCTTCGATTATTCCAAAGCCATTTTTAACTGCTCACGTAAACCCCATACATCCTCTCAACCTGCAGAAACCCCATATAATATTTTACCACTTTGACACTATAAGCTCCGTAAAATACTATTTAGTGTGGAGAAGATTAATTCTTGGTAAGACATCTACATATTATATATCTATTCTTGTCAAATCCCAGTTGATTAATACGTGTAAAGTTTTGAATTTCTGAGAGTGGCTATTTTAATCGCGTGAAAATTCACTGCCTTTGGATCCATGGGAGAGCGACAGTGATTCCAATGGCATAACGAGGAAGATTCGCCGGAAATTAGGGTTATGTTTTTGAACAAAGACGATGGAGTTTGGGGCTGAGCAACTTGATTTTCTGTTAATATATTTCAATGTATTTTCATGTATTTCATTGTATTCATTGTTTTTTTTTTCATTGTAATTCAATGTATCTCGTTGTATTCCATGTATTTCATTGTATTCACTATTTTTTTTCATTGTATTTCAATGTATCCCGTTGTATCATTGTATTCACTGTCTCGCTATATGCCATGAATGTATTCATATATTTTTTTAATTAATATAATTTATGTATTCAGATGTATTATATTATACATTTAAATTTTCAGGTGAACTTTCAGAAATATGTGTAAAGCTACTAGAAGAACCAACACCACCTCTTGATCTTTTGGAAGTTTTCTTACTACCACCTCTACTAGTGCACGCTTTTTTGGCTGCTCTAAGCAAATCCATTATGTAAATTAAATTAATAATTTTAAATAATAAAATAAGTGTACACCAAAGAAGAGAGAGATGGAACGAGTGTACCGGGATTCCGGATGCCGCACTGATTTTGATATCAAAAATCAAACTTCAATTGATAGACCGAAACTTGATAGTTGATAGTACTTGATACCACACTTCACTTGAATACTTGATATTTGATAATAATAATTTTGTAATGGCTAAACTAAATATTTGATGAAACTTGAAATAATAAGTAATTGAAAATTTAAGAACAATAATTAATAATATCAAGAGAGAATTGAGAGAGAATTAGAGTAGTAAGAGAGTAAATTGTGAGAAAAAATAAAGAAGAAGGGGGGCTATTTATAGTTTTTAAAAGGTTAAAAATTATAATTTTTCAATTATTAGGGGTGGGAGGGCTATTTTTTTAATGGGGGAGGCCGAAATGGCCATTTGTGCAAAATCTGGCCGTTCCCCAATGGTCATTTCTGAATTTGACCGTTGGCAATGGTCCACAAAATTAAAATAAAGAAAATAAATTCTTTTTTTGTAATGGATACCGGGCTAAATCGGGTTGCAGCCCGTTAACAACCCGTTAACGGGTTAGCGGGCTTAGCGGGTTCCGGTACACCAGTATCCAAAATGTGTTCGTATAAAACCCGCCCCCCGCCCAACCTATCCCAGCCCGCCCCAATATGCTACAGTAACGGGCTGAACCGGGCTGACCCGGGCCGAAGTGGGTTGAAAATGGGTCAGCCCGGCCCGATTAACAGGTCTAGTTTGGATTGACTTATTTTAAGTGCTTATTGGCTTTTAAGCACTTTTTTACTTAGAATCTTAATCCTTTAGCTCTTAATCATTTAGAGATTTTTTTAAGTTAGAATCTTAATTATCAGATCTCAATCTTTAAGTGTGTTTATTTTTATTACAACCATTTAATAAGTTTGAATAGATCTGAATAATTAAAATCCATAACAAAGTTTTAATATTATTAAGATGCTATCCATTCAAGGATTTTCGCAAAAGTCATCTAAGCACAACTACATCCACTTTCACCGCTATGCACCATTGCACCGGCGCCCATCACGATCAACTATCAACATTTATATTCACCATCCTTAACCTCCATCATCATTTAAATCGATCACCACAGACACAACGGTCAACCGTTATCATTTTTAATCACCATTACAATCATCGCCACCAACCACCATTACTGCAACCACCACTATCACCACCAACAATCACTGCCATCAGTCATCGCCATATATCGCTAGCTATTGCAATAAGTCGCCATTATCATTAACTATCACCATCTTCCATCCATAATTAATAATTGTCACCAGATTTACCATCAATCACCACTGTTAATCATTATTATTAGCTATCACCACCACTAGCTACTATTCATAATTGCCACTGTCGCTACCATCACTATTAGTCATTGCCACCGCCAATCACTATATATATTTGTTGATACAGTTACCTAAGAAAAGGAATGTTTCATTTTCTCATAGATACTTCTCCTCGTAAGAGGATTAGGAATATTGATAGAATGATAACCTACCAATAATAGGATCCTAGATTAGGAAAACACTAATATTCTTGAAAAGGAAATTAAAAAAAGTAACATCACTATATGGGGTAAAATTAGCTAATGACAGGTGTGTTGGACTTTAAGCTATTGGGCTTTAAAGTAGAAGAAGTGTGAATTGGAAATGGAGGGAAATAAAATGGAGGGAAAAATGAAAATTTGAAGAAGTGAACTTTTGTCTTACACTTTGTCCCTCATTGGTGAGGGACAATCACATTTGTGTGCTTATATATAGAATCACTTCTTAAAACTCTTAAAAGGAGTTGAAGAGAATGAACCCTCGCGCCGTCGTCGTCGCTCGCTCGGCTCGGCTTCGGCTTCGGCTTCGGCTTCGGCTTCGGCTTCGGCTTTGGATTTGGATTTGGATTTTGGATTTGTCAAACGATCGATAAGATTATTTTTGGACAAAATTTATTTAATTATTTAATAATTAATTAAATGTCAAATCACTGCTGAAAATACGCCAGAACCCTGCTGAAGATTCAGAGGGACTCTCTGGCCGCGGTTCTGCCGTAACCGCGGTAGAACCGCGACAGGCAGATTCAGAGAGCCTCTCTGACCGCGGTTCTGCCGTAACCGCGGTAGAACCGCGGCAGGCAGCGTATTCTTCTGAAAAGGCACCTTTTCCAGACACCTCTTCTGATAATTGCCTATAAATTCTGAGGCAAGGCTCCATTTTCTACACACGAAAAATACTCCAGAACTTTCTTCTTTTTGAATATACTGCATCCTAATTCGCAGTCAATCTCTCTCCAATTCGTAAGTGTGATTTTGCTCCGTTCTATGAGTTCGTTGGGATCCTGCAGTTTGTATTGCCATTGTTGCAGGAAGGTTTATTCCGTTTTATCCTGGGAGGATTTAA